AACAACAGCGGTAATTAAAGTTTAAAAGTATCAAAATGCTACAACTACTAGAGGAATCAAACTGTTTAAAACACATGCTCAAAGTAAGCCGGATTTTGCCGATGTGTTTATGTGGATTCAAAAGTCGTAAATAATCTACAAAATGAAGAAACATTTCAATTAAAGAAAGAATTATACATTTCTGTCTTTTTATGCCTTTAATACTAACTTAAATTTGTATTAAAAATAATTAATCAATTATTTTTTATATTTTATTTTAATGTAGAGACAAGGCTTTTAGTGACAATCATGTAATGCGTTACAATTATATGTAAAAAAAAAAAAAAGAAAGTCTAAATATGATATTTGGCCTCAAATCATCTGAGGCCCCCCCTGCGATCTTTGGCGCACCCCCCCCAGGTTGGGAACCACTGGTCTAGAGAACAAAGCCTGCCATTTCAAAATCGGTGCCCTTACTTATATACACCTTTTTTTCTATTCAACTTAAATATACCTACAGTCTCAGGTCTCTGGGTACTTATAGAAGAATATTTTGCAGTCTTAGGTGATTTTGCAAACCTATTTTGGTCAGGCAGTACATTTTTCTCCAACTGAACACCTTTCCTTGAGTCAGCATGTTTCATAAAGAGGCCAACATCACATCTTAAAACCTTGTTCCTCCTGTTAGTCCAGAATTAAGTCCTATATGGAAATCATGTCATCAGATCATAATGTAATTGTTTCTTATTCAGTCATTAGTTTTGTACCCTCTAAAGTCAATGTTTTGTTGCCCTCGGCTTATTCCTTACACATTTTTAATAATGGAATCTTGTAAGGTCAGGGGCGACAGAGAAAAGGGAGGAAGGACACTTCCCACACATGCTCAACAAAGAGTGTGACAGTTTATCGCACAACAAACCAGGTGAGATTAGGAGCAATTCTGGCAGGAGCAAGGAAACAGGACGAGTGGGTTTGCATTCAAATGTGGTCGCATTCAAATCAGGAAGCTGCGGCAGAGGGTTAACTCTTTCACTGCCGTGTGTGGACAAGCAATAAAGTGATAAGGAACTGTGCAGGCAAGAGGAAAGACGCCAGCAGGAGGCAATAGATCACAGGCAGGGAAGACCGTAACCATCCAAGGACAAAAGGCCATTATCATATAATGCAGTGAGAGGGGCAATGGTGCAAGCATAGCAAAGGTGTGGTTATGTAATCTCATGTAACTGGCTTACCGCATCACCCTAAGAGGTTCCCCAACAACCATTGGATTCACCAGGTGGTTGAATAATTAGAGTAGTGGAAAATAAGAGAAAAACACAACACCGTTTTCACCTATTCAGCATCAAACAAGTTTAACCGGCACTTTATGAATGGGACTTACAGCTGGTCGAGTCGGCCTGGCCAGGTTCTTTTCATCTGGTTTCTTTGGAACATTTTCAGGCCGCTGGAGAGGCGATCCTTCAGATTTGGAGGAAGCTTTGAGAGAACAAAAGGAGGTCGAGTTAGTGAGGGGAAACAGAGTTTGGCAGGGAGAGCTGGCTCTGAAGCCATCTTTAATCGGATGAATAGAAACAGCAGAAAAGCGTACCGGAGCGGGGAGCACAGAATGGTAATGGTGTTATTATAGTAATAATGATAATGTGCTAATAGCCAGTTAGTAGAGGGAGTGAAAGTACAGTACCAGGGGACTCACAGCGTGGCCTGAAGCGGTCCCCAGGGCTAGCCTGAGAGCTGGAGTTGGAGGATCCGGAGGAGCTGCCGCTGCCGGGTCGCGGCTGCAGCTTCTCCACCCGGTCCCACAGAGGCCGCTGCTCCACACTACTGACACGGAACGACAGCACATTAACACTAACACGCAACCCAAATGAGACGATCCTATCAAACCCAGAGGTCTCTCAGCTCACCCTGCAGCGATCCTCGGTCCGGCCGCGATCCCGGGCTGCTGGGGCAGAGGGGACTCTCGGCGCGACAGCACTGGAGACCTGGAGGTGGTCCTTACTGGTACCTGGAGCAAACAGATTCAAACATCCTCATGAAGTGGCATATGAGAAAACAAGTGAGAATACATATCCACTGCAACATCAAATCAACCACAACTGAGCATTTAGAGGAATCTGAACTTCTAGAACTGTGGTTCTCAACTGGTGGGTCGCGGCCCAGTGAAGGAAAAAAAAGTTGGAAAAAAAAGTTGGAATTTTTTTTTTTTTTTGGGGGGGAAAAAGTCTAACTTTTATTTTGAAGGCCCGATTTTCTAACGCTGTGCATGCAGTCGGCGCTGGACTGGAAGTAACGGACACCATAAACGGTTTTGAAAACTTCTGTCACATAGTGATCATCGTCTCAATAAAATATCTTTGCTGATGTTTTTTCGAGTCTTCTGGCCAATCAGAATCAAGATGGTTGCCGGGAGTCCCCACGGAGAATAGCTTTGCGGTAGAACTCTTCTTTATACATCCATGGGTACAACTTCAGATACAAATGAACACATAAAATATGGCGCCCGGTTTGATGATTGACAGATCACAGAACAATGGGGGCTATCTACCCTTACCCACAATTTAAAGTAAGTCACACAGACTGTCTCCTCTTTACTCTTCTCGCAGCAAGATGTCAGAACAAAGTGAAAAACAAACAATGGCATAAAATATTATTAATATGTCGGGTAGTAATAGATTTATTTATTTTCTTCTCAGAGTGTACCAGAATGCATAGTTTATGTTAGTATGTCTAAAAATCTCCTGGGGGCGAATCCCCCCAGATCCCCCTGCTGGGGTTGGGTTTTCAGCATGTGTGCCTTTTTATATAGTTCAGCTTTGATTCCATCATCTCAAACCTTTTTTAATAGCATACTTTAGTTCTGTGAAGGGATATATGCACTGTACTTCACTTTTATTAATATTGTATGCTGAAAAGCGTATATATTACAGCACGATTTTTT